CACGAGGTCAACACAGCCACCAGACCACCACACCAACACAGCCACCAGACCACTACACCAACACAGCCACCAGACCACTACACCAACACAGCCACCAGACCATCACACCAACACAGCCACCAGACCACTACACCAACACAGCCACCAGACCACTACACCAACACAGCCACCAGACCATCACACCAACACAGCCACCACACCACTACACCAACACAGTCACCAGACCATCACACCAACACAGCCACCAGACCACCAGACCAACACAGCCACCAGACCACCAGACCAACACAGCCACCAGACCACCACACCAACACAGCCACCAGACCACCACACCAACACAGCCACCAGACCACCACACCAACACAGCCACCAGACCACCACACCAACACAGCCACCAGACCAACACAGCCACCAGACCAACACAGCCACCAGACCACCACACCAACACAGCCACCAGACCACCACACCAACACAGCCACCAGACCGCTACACCAACACAGCCACCAGACCACCACACCAACACAGCCACCAGACCAACACAGCCACCAGACCGCTACACCAACACAGTCACCAGACCACCACACCAACACAGCCACCAGACCATCACACCAACACAGCCACCAGACCACCACACCAACAGTCACCAGACCATCACACCAACACAGCCACCAGACCACCACAGCCACCAGACCACCACACCAACACAGTCACCAGACCACCACACCAACACAGCCACCAGACCATCACACCAACACAGTCACCAGACCACCACACCAACACAGCCACCAGACCACCACACCAACACAGTCACCAGACCATCACACCAACACAGCCACCAGACCAACACAGCCACCAGACCACCACACCAACACAGCCACCAGACCAACACAGCCACCAGACCACCACACCAACACAGCCACCAGACCATCACAACAACACAGCCACCAGACCACCACACCAACACAGTCACCAGACCATCACACCAACACAGCCATCAGACCAACACAGCCACCAGACCACCACACCAACACAGCCACCAGACCACCACACCAACACAGCCACCAGACCACCACACCAACACAGCCACCAGACCATCACACACCAACACAGCCACCAGACCATCACACCAACACAGTCACCAGACCACTACACCAACACAGTCACCAGACCAACACACCAACACAGCCACCAGACCACCACACCAACACAGCCACCAGACCAACACAGCCACCAGACCACCACACCAACACAGCCACCAGACCACCACACCAACACAGCCACCAGACCACCACACCAACACAGCCACCAGACCATCACACCAACACAGCCACCAGACCATCACACCAACACAGTCACCAGACCACTACACCAACACAGTCACCAGACCACCACACCAACACAGCCACCAGACCACCACACCAACACAGCCACCAGACCACCACACCAACACAGCCACCAGACCATCACACCAACACAGTGACCAGACCACCACACCAACACAGTCACCAGACCACCACACCAACTCAGCCACCAGACCATCACACCAACACAGCCACCAGACCGCTACACCAACACAGCCACCAGACCAACACAGCCACCAGACCACCAACAGCCACCAGACACAGTCACCAACACAGTCACCAGACCACCACACCAACACAGCCACCACACCAACACACCAACACAGCCACCACACCAACACACCAACACAGCCACCACACAAACACACCAACACAGTCACCAGACCATCACACCAACACAGTCACCAGACTATCACACCAACACAGCCACCAGACCACCACACCAACACAGCCACCAGACCATCACACCAACACAGTCACCAGACCATCACACCAACACAGCCACCAGACCAACACAGTCACCAGACCACCACACCAACACAGCCACCAGACCACCACACCAACACAGCCACCAGACCATCAAACCAACACAGCCACCAGACCACCACACCAACACAGCCACCACACCAACACACCAACACAGCCACCACACCAACACACCAACACAGTCACCAGACCACCACACCAACACAGCCACCAGACCACCACACCAACACAGCCACCAGACCATCACACCAACACAGTCACCAGACCATCACACCAACACAGCCACCAGACCAACACAGCCACCAGACCACCACACCAACACAGCCACCAGACCACCACACCAACACAGCCACCAGACCATCACACCAACACAGCCACCAGACCACCACACCAACACAGCCACCAGACCATCACACCAACACAGCCACCAGACCATCACACCAACACAGCCACCAGACTATCACACCAACACAGCCACCAGACCACCACACCAACACAGCCACCAGACCATCACACCAACACAGCCACCAGACCATCACACCAACACAGCCACCATACCACCACACCAACACAGTCACCAGACCAACACACCCACACAGCCACTAGACCACCACACCAACACAGCCACCAGACCACCACACCAACACAGCCAC